CCCTTTCTGAGAGATACGTAGTAAATAGAGAAGCAGAAGAAGAAGAAAAAAACCCCTTTTTTAAATCCAAAAAAAAATTAGCTATACATTAATTAACTACTTAAATAGCTCACTAGCCAGCTAGACCAGACCAGCTCCTTTAACCTATCCATCCACCGAACTCAACAACTCAGACAGTACAGTATGGCAGTTAGTTACCTAAAGGCAAGCAAAAGTAAGATGAGAGGGAGGGAAAAAAAACGAAAGAAAAGAATAGCGATGATATAAACTGAACCAATCCAAATCCAAATCCAAACGACATCAAAATAAAATCAAGATAGTTAAGTTAATCCATTGAGGGGGGGGGGCATCCATTCCATTTTTCTATCCATCCATCCATACCCACCCTTGGCCCCTTATTCCCCTCCCTCCCAAGCCCTCTCTCAGCCAGCCGGTTCGAATCCGAACGGCTCGTCCGAATGCCAACCACTTTCATTCGATCGTAGGATATGATCATACTCTTTCCTTTCCATTCCATACATAGTTTCGTCCTCATTTGTTGTTGTTAATAATTTTCAATTCCCGTGTACAAAATAAAGCCAAACTAACTCATCACAAAAAAAAAAAAAAAAAAACGCCGAATATTGCTGGGATATATAGGGAAAACTAAGTCAACGAAAAAAAAAAGAAAAAGAAAAAGAAAAAGACGAAAATCAATAAAATTTGCGTGAAATCGCGCTGCTTGTTTCCTTCCACTCTTCTTCACGCTCCCGTTGCAGGGGGTAGGGTGGCCATATCAGTGTTGGGGTTTCTCTATCGCATGATTTCCTCGAAGATAAGAACTGCATAGAGTATAGTCGTGGTTAGAAATGGTCACAGACGTACATAAGGTGGGGTTCGATTTACCTTTCAACTGCTCCTTGCTCAACGAGTCCTTATTTTTATCGAAATCGAAAAACTCCTCTGGGATAGGGTCAGCGGTTGGTTCGTCTTCCGGATCATGATATGGCTCCAGGTAAGGGTGACGCAGAGCATCCTCCACTGTGATGCGTTTGACTGGGTTGAATGCCAGGAGTTTTTCTAGCAGGTCCAAAGCTAGATCGGACGTCTTGGGGAAGAGCGCCTTCAGGGGGATCTTCTTCTTAAACGGCAGAGATCTGATGTATTCCCGAGCACGACGGGACTTGATACCGTAATAGTCCTCCATGGTTGGTGTTCCCAGGACGTCGAGGATGAGGGTTAATTGATGGTGATCTGATTTAGTTAGTAGCTAGTTTCAACACGTATTGTACATGTAGTGGACGATGCTTACAGTCTTTGCCTGGGAACAATGGTTTCCCGTTCAGCATCTCTGCCAGTATGCAGCCAACACTCCACACATCGATTGCTTTGGTGTATTCTTTGAAGGTCAACATAATCTCCGGCGCGCGATACCATCGAGTGGCGACGTATTCCGTCATGAAACCAGAGTTATCGTCTGTTGAAGCGGCAGAGCGGGCGAGACCAAAGTCGCAGACCTTTAGGTCGCAGTTTGCATTAAGGAGTAAGTTAGACGGCTTAAGGTCACGGTGAAGGACATTGGCGGAATGCATAGCCTTTAGGGCTCGTAGGGTCTGGTAGATGAAGTACTGGCAATGGTCGTCGGAGAGATCTTGGGTACGAATCACACGATGCATGTCTGTTTCCATAAGTTCCTGCAGTATATGTTAGCTGGGCATATCAGTAATCGGATGTAGTTTATTTCGCACCTGGATGAGGTACACTTCAGTGAAGCTCTCGTAGTTACGGGGTTTCTGGATGTCAAGGATTGAGATGATGTTCTCATGGTTGAAATATCTGAGCAGCTTCATCTCGCGAAGCGTACGCAGGCAGAACATGGAGTGATCGAAGGGGGTGATCTTCTTGATAGCGACCTTCTGGCCAGAAGGCTTGTGGAGTGCGGAGCTGGAGTCCGTCAGAGATATGCCTCTGAAAAATGGATAGCTATACTGACCACACCACGCCATATGCGCCCTCTCCGATCACATCTTGGATATCGTACTGATCAGAAACATTGAATGATATTTTCCTCGACCCTCCTTGGGAGGTTGATGGTTGGACCATGGCGCCGGATGTTGACAACTATATTGAGCAAGTTAGCATTGGGGTTGCGACCAAAGCTATATCGGCGCCAGCATAGAAACCATTGGCCAAACAAACAGAAAGACGGAGGGCGGTGTTGGGACGAGGGGGTTCACCGTGATTTATCACACGAGTAAACAATGACAGGAGACAGCTTCATCGTGGTGGAGAAACCTCGAAGGTGAAACGGATGGCAAAGAAAACGGAGACAACGAGACCTGGGGCTGAACAACGCGAACTTGCCCCAAATATTCTTCTGACACGCGCCACAAGCATTCGAATATAAACCCCGAGCCACGGACGGGTGCAGGGAGAGCCCCGCGGCTGCGTCATAACTCGGGATGGCCGTGTGCGGGACGAGCAGAAAGCAAATGTGTTGGGGGAAACAGCATATCGGCAAATAAAGCAGGAAAAGAAACACAGCTGAAAGGATCTTGACACAGACAATGAAGTGCTTCCAAGGTTCAAATGTGTCTGCGCAGATAAAGAGCAGAACCAGAGTGCCCAGCAGCCCTGTGCGGGAGGATATGATAGTCCATCTTACATTTGTTCACAAGCAATCAACACAGCACTATCCTGGTTTCCTGTATGTCTGACACAAGTACAGCCCTCTTCTCACAATCCACACAGCAGTGGTAGATGTCAGAGATCAATGCTGGCTCAATATTGCGGCTATCTGCGTCTTTGTTGAGCAACAGGGTGTAGCGGGTTCTGGAGGAGGCAGGACGAAAGGACACGGGCGCTTGGAACGAAATGGGATGGGTTTGCGGAGGAAGAGTCGCTTTAGGAGGTAAGCCGGATAGGACGATAGGGGCGGGATATGATCGATCTGGTGGTGTCGAGGAGAGGAAGACGGGATCGGGGAGGGCGGGGAAGCGAGGCAGACGAGGGGTCTAGGGCGAGTTGTGAATGCGCAGGGCTGGAGAACAATACAATGGCATTGTCAGCCGGCGTCTTTGGCAGAGAGAGCAAGCTACTGGGCGACAGTGAATGGCAGCGATTCACCTCCATGTCGCAGCAGCCGGCGTCGAGCGTACGGAGAGGGTCATACCTGTGTTGCCCAGCCTGGATTGCGAGAGATGGCTGGAGGGGGGGCCGAGGAGCGCTGGAGAGGCTGGAGACGGACGCCAACAGGGCTGGCTTGCTGCTGGGTGAGTTGACAGAGACACGGCGATGCAGCAGTCTGTCTGCTAATTAGAATATTCGCAGTTTATTACCAACCTGCTGTCTGTTGCTGACCCAAGGCGGTGGAGATGTTTCGGACAGCCCAAGTGCGGCGGTGGGCGGTTAAGATGGTGGGGCAGACTCCCTCGACTCCCAGACATAAATAAATATTGAAATCTCGGTCTCTCACACCAGCCCCAATGCAGGCCTCAATAGATTGCGCGTTTTACTTGGGTGCATCTTCCTCTAGCTAACTAATAACTCTCCAGCAGCAGCCTCTGTGCCATCCATGCCCATCCCCTTGGCCCCTCGCCCGGCCAGCGCCGTGCCAAATCACCAGCCGCCAGCCCGCAAAGGCGTCTGTCCTGCTTCATTATTCGATCCGTGGGTCGGCCAGCGGGCTGGGCGGGTTTCGGGGGTGCTGCCGAGTGGACGGGCCAATGAGCCGGCCGCCTCGCAGACGGACGGGGAGACTGTGGACTGTGTGGAGGCAGCGGATTATCCAGAAACTCGGAGTGGACGGTGGTTCTCTGGGTGCTGGATATTTCACTGGTCAACGCCGGGGATTCCTCTGCACGAAAGAGATACACATCTGCCTCTAGCGATCTCCTCTGCATGTCTATCGTCAAGCAGCAGCGACACTAGACTCCTGCTCTACCAATCCGCGGATGGCCCGCCTCGGACCAGACCAGACTGGCTTCCTAGGTTTGCGACATCGAACTGCCGCAGGGTTCAAGGATACGCCCGTTGAAGACATCACTCTGCTTATTAGACCCTTTCGTCAGACACTGCAGAGCTCACTCTAACAATTAATGATATTTAACCTCGTTCCCAGCCTTCAAAACTGGACAGATTTATTCCACGCCTTCTGCATGTCCTCCCAGTAGACGCCAATCTTCTCATCTTTGGAGAAGGCCCATAAATGCACCCGTCCTGATATTTGACGCACTGGAGAAACCTAGCCGGATCCTGCAATATACCCTTCGCCCGAGCATTCGAGAAACACCCCACTACTTAAATTCCGCTGGGCAATGCCTCGTGAGATCATTCTTTGCGTCTCACAGTCTCAGTCCCCTTTGATACCACCATCCTTGGCGCCTGCATGCCAGAGTGAGAGGCCTCGGAGCTTGTGTTTCAACCCGTCCTTTCACGCATTCCTTTAACCCCTGGACCCCTGGCAGCCATACTCGTTCGGGGAAAAAGTTTTGCAGCCAGTCCTTTGGCGGCCGCAGTGGTCGTCGATCTGTGCCCGTTTTTCTGCCTCTTTTTCCAACTCCCTTCATCTGTGAAACCGCCTTGTGGAGCGTCTGATATTTATGCGCGACCCCCAACTACTTGCACATGGCTGCTAAATATATACGCCCTATATGAACCCAACTTGATAGCAGGGATTAAGATATGAAACCCTCCCTCCAATTGTTATTGGGAATAGACCTTCAGGAACCGTAATATGACGCAAGGAAGGCCTGGCTCTCATAGTAATGAAAGTGGCCCAACAGTGAACTCAGCATCGGGCTATACGAAAATAGAGGAAACAACCGACAATTTCTCCCATAGACTACTCCAAGGAATAGACGAGATCCAGCAACCAGTGAAAAATAAGAAATAACCCGGGACTAGATATCCATGGATTTATAATGGTGGGGATGATCCAGAGCGTCGAATGCGGCCATGTTCGCCACCCAGCCGCTCTGGCATATGGATCCCTAAATGAGTTGTCCGTCCATCAAGCAACAGGCTCAATGGTCTAGTTGGTACGATACTCCCTTCGGGTAAACATTTATCCAGCTTCGAAAAATCGAGCTAAATATGGGAGTGGTCCCGGGTTCGACTCCCGGTTGAGCCCGTTTTCTTTTTTTTCGTTCAATCTTTTTTTTTTTGCTGTTGGGTTTCTTTTCAATTTTATTAACTACTCCATCCCAAAGATGTCAGGATGGGATTCTCCCCTGCATGCTTGCGTTGCCCGAGTGACACACCTCCCCCAAGCTGTGCCATAGGTACTATCTCTATTCCTGGTGAATCCTCCGACTCTCATCACAAACAGCAGTGAAATGCTTCGATCCCGAGACTGGGAATGCCGCTTGGGGAATTTCCCATTCAACTGGGTTTCCCTTGAACGAAAAAAGTGCTGTGAAGGAAGCTGGGGAGTGAAAACTAAGGTGACAGACATGATGTGATACTAATGAGCAGTCAACCTGGTTATTTATCTGCCTTCCACCCGCCGGCCAACCTTTTCTCCTACTACCTACCCCTACCTTCATCCATGTCTGTGATGAAAAGGCTATCCCAAATACCACTATTCTTTAGAGATATTACTATGATGATGTCTTGTCTATCTTCCTCCTCATGACGAACCTCCACCCATCCGTCACAGTCTTTGGCCTGCCTTCTGCCCATGCCTATATATGAGTAGGTTCCAAAATATGGCTACGTCTGGGAGATATTTATGACGATTAAGGCATGGATTTTTGACCGAATGATCCACGGTCCAAACATACCTAGGAGAAAAATATTTTGATTATTACCATACTAATATACCTTTGCCGGCCTCCGAGGGAAGAAAGGGGAAAGCAGGATATCCCCTTCAAATCTGGCTTCTCGGACATTATAAACATACCGCTATCTGAAGCATGCATCGGGACGTATGCTGATACCGTTCACAGTCGGAAAATCCGGCGGCTTGCGTCGTACGAGGGATTACCGCTTGCAAAGCCACCGAGCAATCTCCGACGCATTGGCGATGGGATCAGACTCTACCGCTGTACTATAGAGGAATTGGTAGGATACGTTGGCGACGATGGATTGGTTCATTGCCTCTACCGTCACCTTCAAAGTTCCAGATATGCTGCCCGCCGGGGTCATCTGCAGGCCCTAGTGATTCATTACTGCATCTTTCCCTAGACGGCCTCTTTTTGGTCTTCTAGTATCTATCCTGGGGTCACCTCCTGATATCTACCATCTTTTAGTTGTCGATCATTCCTGGAAGAGAGCAAGCACAACGACATCGATCTGTCAGTATGGCTTGCTTCATCATTGGCCACAGTTTAGAGTCCGGGCTGCCCCTCTTCAACTGGACTAAATAATGAAGGAATACAGTCCACTATGTATGTTATCTGTCCAGTGTTTCACTACTTGCTGTAACTGACTTTATATTCTCTAGTCAAGACTATTAACAGCTTCCACTGAGGTAAAGCCACTTTACATTAAGGGTACATACAAGCCCGCAATCTGATCATTCAAGATGAAAGAATATACCGAAATATCAGGAATGGCAATAGCTGCAATCTGCATGACCGGAATGGATCTCTCTCTAAAACATCTATTGTCACCACATTCCTCCTCCGTGGTATGGGTATCTTGTATGTGTGGATGCAATGTGCAGGCTCTCTTCCCAGGTCTGTTTAATCTCAAGCATTTCTTGACCATTTTATCTTATAAATATCTAATGGATATTCCTCTCTTTTAGGATTATTGTCTTCCATTTGGAGACTGGAGAACAATTGTGGTCATCTTTTACTGGATGCATCCCATGTTTGATTGGGCACAGTAAGATTTACAAGTTTCTATACTGACAAACATCGGTCTTTTGGCGCATTTGGTCTTAAATCCGGCCAGTGTCTCTACATGCAGCACCTGCAAGAGCTTACTCAACCCCCCCCCCCAAATGGCGCCGTTGAATGTTGTGATCCCAATACAATTGAGTGCGTCCTACCCGACACCACCGAACGCGGTCCATCAGCAATTCCTGTGGCAGACGAACCGCAATAAACGTTCAACCAAGGAGGCAAAGGCTCCAGCCAAACGTCGTAAGGTCGCCGCAACGAAGGCCCCTGCAGTTAAACGGAATAATGGAGGGAATCGTCTTAAAATCGAGCGGGTGCCAGCTGCCGACCTGGCGGTGGCTCATTTGTGTTTACTCTGTTCTTGATGGCGACATCGAAGATGACAACAGTCACAGTTCTACCATTTCTCCGCATATCTGCGGCTTCATCTTCCTGAGCCGGATGATAACAATGAGCGTGTTGTAGGATTCACGAAGAACGCCAACTATGAGCTCCCCAGCCGCGCTCCCCTTAGTGCCTATGCGATGGAGGTGTCATTTGGCTTGTTCCAGACCCGATAGTGAAGGATACATCTGACGCGGTCCGCAACCCCCTGTGTATCCTTCTTGCGCGGATATCGCTGACATCTGGGGGTCGAATCTTTATTGACTTCAAGTCAAAATTCATCGAATTCAGCTACAGAGCAGGTACACGTTATAAACTCTAACGGGAAACATATACTACAGGAGGCTCTTTGAGACCGAGTTGGAGTTCTTCGTTAACTTGTATCAGAAATATAAGTCATATAGGTGGCTTCCACACTAAGGGGATCCCTCGGATGATTTGGACTTACCTGATACACACGCAGCCGACCCGGAGATTCACATTCTACCCTACTTTGAACTCCAACCGCATCCTCATTCTATCGAAGTCCAATAACTCGCCGTATCATTTCTTGAAGCCCCTTGACCCTGGTTGCTACTCGGCCGCTTCTAGGGGCGTTGACTACTATTACGATCTAAACGAATACTACCCCTGTTAAACATCTGGCCGACTGGCCCATATACTGGCCATGGCAGTTCCAAAGGCAATTCAAAGAACGCCTAATACTACAGCCATATTGTCCAAGAATACATCGTATTTCCACAACTGCCAAATAAACGCCGACGAGGCAATATCTGTGGAAGTTGGATTTTAAACCTAATCATCTCTCACCATAAAACGGCGCGCGAGCAGTCTGGGTCCAGAGGAGCCTTGACGCGGAAACATACGCCAATGTTTTGGCCGACTAGCAATGTTTCTCGGTGCTTTTCCTGGAATAAGTGGTAAAGGATTTTGGTAGGGATATGATGGCTAGGGTCTTTACATCCCCTTGCCTGCTGATGAACACCAAACACATCACAATGAGCAGTTCTTTGGCGCTCTTGAGCAACTCAACCCAGCCCTGGAGACTATTGAGCAGACTTGTGACCTTGCTTTTGAGGAGCTTGAGGAGGACTGGGGCCACGCATCCCCAGAATTCGACCCCTCTGACTTCGACCTTGAAAGAGCACCGACAATGCACCACACACTTGTCTACCAAACCGCCATTAACAAAACAAGTTAAAATTCTTCACTGCTAGGCATGTTTCCACTAGTTCTACTTCCTCCCCGGATCCCTTGATGGGACCGGTTACCCCCCTGCGCCGCGTTCTCACGGTTTCCCCGGTGCAGGTCCCTTCGCGCCGCGCTCTAGGGGAGGGATGTTACCAGAACAAAAGAGGACAGCCGCCAGAACGCCAAGTCAATAACGCCCCAAGAGCGGCATCATAACAGCATCCCTAGAGACTCTGCGCGAGCCTGTTACCACCTGCATACCACGGAGTGCGGTTTCGCCTCTAAAACTACGACGATGGTGTACTGCTCCCGACTTAAGTTCGCGGTGCCTTGACTAAGGGGTACTCCATAACAAACAAGGGATTATTACTGCGCTATGCTACCACCCGGTCCAGAACTCATGGCAGAACCGCTATTTTGGAAACGAGGAAGCGAGAGCCATCTTAACGACACGAATTCCCAGATTTACGGACAAACCAAAGTCAGAACACGAGAGAGATCATGCCGCTCAACCGCCCACACGTATCGCGAAATGCAGGGAACACCCGATGTCAGATTGTCCGTGACTCTATCATGATGATGTTTATGCGTCCTCCTCGGAAGAAATAGCCAGTCAGCTTCGGAGAGTATTGACCACCCCCGACGAAGCCGAGGCATTCCACACCTCGTTCGCAACCATAACAGAGAACAGACGCTTTTGTTACTCAATTCCCTACACCTTGTTTCCTGGCCTGTCACTAGGATTGACGCCCCAATTCGTACGCCCAGCTGCCCCAAACACTCCGTCATACTATTTTATCAAATTAGAGGGTGATGGGGCCATCCATGCTATTATTGTGGGTTCCATCAGAAACATACAGGGCAACCTCTGACAATCGGTACGTTCGACGATGGTTCTGGCATATCACCGCCCGATCAGCTCGAGGTTGAAGGGAGTAAATATACCCGCTCTGAACTGTCCAGCTTCTCGAAATCTCACAGTTGACAAGTTTAGTGTTTTCAATTACCACTTCATCGAGAATAGGACAAAAATTTGCCAACTCCCCGAGTCGACTATTATCTGTACCGTTGCGTGGGGTCGCCGGTAGATTCCAACATCAAACTCGAATCTCGATTTGACTTGATACCTCTACCAAACTTACATAGTCACCTTGCGGAGCCCGTCTAGATTTCTGCTTCATTTTAACATTTTCACCTTCAAAAAGAAGTCATCTCCTTTCTTCACCCGGATTCCGTCGGATATCGTTTTGTCGCCGAATTCGCGTCGTCGTCCTACCTTGCCGGGCTCTGGGTCTGGATCCACCTTGACTTTACCAAAAATCCATGCTGCAAGCAAAATTTAGCGAACGACTCTCCCATCTGTGGTTAGTTTGATAAGGCGGCCCAAGAACATTGATCTAGAAGCCGCCGTACATGCGGCTGAAGGACAACCAGAAGACAGTATATAGGATGTCGTCCTCAGATAACTAGTACTTGTATCTTCCATACTAATCTTCCCTATTTAACACATAACAGCATCCAGTTCTATAATACCTGCTCGCCCAAGACCCAGGGCTATTGAGAACGGATGAAAAAGACATCCATGGCTCTTGCGGCCATAGCTGTACTGCTTAATAAAGAGAGTACCCCTTAAATAACCCCAGTGGCGACGATGGACCTTCCCCCGTTACGGGGATGATCAAGCCATTTTGGGAAGAAATCTACCTTC